TTATAGATTTTCTGCACTATCCTTCAGTTACGGTAACTGCCCTTAAGATCTCTGAAATTCACCAAACAATCTCTAGATCTAGCTTTTCTGAGGTACTCGGAACTTCCAAAAAGTTCATAAAGTTTTTCTCAAATTCTCTGATCTGATGATCCACATGTCTGAATTTCTTTTGACTTACGTTAATTTCACTGAATATAATTGAAATTTCAAGAAGTTATTAAAAGATCATGCAGATTTTTTTAAGCTAATGGAATTGCTTATGGTTTCCTTGAAGTTCCCATATTTTCAAGCTAACAACTTCCCTTAGGTTCCCGCAGCTTGTTCATCATCGAATAAGCTTTCTAAAAGAAGCTTCTAAAGGAGCTTCTTAAGAGGAATTCAGGAATTCAACGATTTTTTTTAAAGTCATGATTCTAGGAAAATATAATTGGACGCAACAATCGCCAAATGAAAGGTTTCACGGTCCCTAGAACGGTATTGAATATTTTCGGAATCGGTCAACTACACAGATAGAAATTCTGAATTTTAATTGTGATGTTAACATTCATTCACGTAAACTTAAATTTAATTTCACGCAACCGAGCAACTTGTAAACAATGTTGTTTACAAAGATGGGCTTTTGTATACAATATTTGCTACATTGCATGATATATGTCAGAACATTATATGATATATAATATAAACTTATATGACATGTGACGCTCCATTTATGTGCACCATATTGAACAAAAATTTACACTACTTTTCGAACTGTGTAGTTCCAGAGATACGGCCGGAACATGATCCACTGAATACCGGCCTTAAGCCAGTAAGTAACCTGCATGTGCCAAATATGTCATACGACACCTCAACACACAGGTGAACTCGAAAAAGAGATCAATCCCCAGGGATTTGACCAGTTTTTGACATGGACCAAAACCTATCATGTAACGCCTCAAATCACATTAGAATTCAAAACCTAGTTCAATGGAAGTTATATGAAGTGCTTCGAACCACATTGATCACATACGGACATGTTCCGATCACCCCCGGGGAAGTGGCCAGTTTCTTACTTCGACCAAACCCTATCATGCGACACCTCAAATCACGTGAGAATTCAAAACCTAGGTCAACGGTAGATATATTAAATACCCAAAATCACATAAGTCAAATTTGGGCATATTTCGGGTACCCTCAAGGAACCTACCAAACCTCACCTAAACGCTAAACATCGGAAAAGGTGAGAAATGGGTTTGATCATCTTTTTTTTCAGATCGCTTCCACTATGTGGCAGTAGAATGTTGACATCTGTGATAGAATTGTACAGAACGCCGGACGGAAATGTTTCAATTTTATCTAGATGAACGTGTCATTGGGAGGGTACTAATGGATATTTTTGGTCGCTCTTGAAAATTTTGTCGGTTGCTGAATTTATGTATGGGCCCAAATTATGTGCATTTAGGTCGACATTACATCCATTTCCCCTACCACTTCAATACTGTTACTCATTTGATCACAAACATTGGGTTGCTGGGTACATTATCAGAGAGCTTTGAGGGTGATGTGGCTGGCAGCAAGGCAAGCGAACCTTCAATGAAAATTATTCGATCAGTAGCGGTGCGGCTTCTTCCTCCTTCTTCGGTGAATCGAGCGTTCTTGATAGCTAACTGCATACGGGGAGCCAATCGTTGTGTAGTGGAGAAACATCATGTACAACGCTACGCGCCGAAACACTGCTTCTGTTGATGACCACCGGACCTGGAACCGGATTGCACATTCGAGCAATTTTCTATAGTGACCAATTGATAAAGTATTAATTTAATCAGATTCGTAGAAGAACTAAAATCCGTCACGACTAACCCGCGACTAACTTTGGTTTCTGAAAATGCAGCCCCAATGTTGCCATGGTATGTTAGATTTTAACTTATGGGAACTGATATCCGATTGATGACCTTGACAAATGTCCAGAAAATACTTTTTACCAAATTTATGGAGGTGCTGAAAATGACCGTTTTGTCGTGATGGTTGAGTAATGCTGAACTATTAGTGTGTTCAACACAGATGAGGTTGGCGAGCTGTATGTTGTTTGGAACGAGGGCATAGATGACCCACAGTGACTCACGAAGAGCTACTGAATCCGATCAGTAGCGGTGCGGCTTCTTTCTCCTTCTTCGGTGAATGGACGCCCATGTGGGCTGCACCTCGCTGCTTGCCGGCAGCCTTTCGTTGTGTACTGGAGAACAATGTTCAACACCACGTGCTGAAAGCACTGCTGCTGATGACAGCCGACCAGACACCACACGGTAACCGAAAAATACCCAATAATGACTACAAAGTAAACATTTTCGAGGGAAACTGGAACTACCCATTAAATGAGTAAAATTTCACCTATTTATGAGTAAATACAACTACAAAAATAAGTAGTAAGTATTCATTTTTGAGTAACAAATACACATAAATGGGTAATATGTTTACTCATTTAATGGGTAGTCCCAGTCTCCCTCGAAAATGCTTACTTTGTAGTCATTATTGGGTATTTTGCGGTTACCGTGCACCATACACGGGTACACGACATTAGGCATACGGACGTTAGGCATAATCTACCCGATGAATTCCAGAAGGATGATAATGGGGACCGTTTAATGATTGCTGACATCGGTGACAATCTAGTTTACAGCATTTATGAACTCGGTAAGCTGATCTTAATTTCCAATGTGAAATTTGACACTGATTCCAAAAATGCAGTTAGAAAAAAAGAAAGTAGAACAGTTTTTGATGTATGGCTACAAGTTGGTTTTTTTTTTTATAAATGAACAAAAACATATTTACTTAAAATCAAATATCTCTAGCAAATCCGGAAAACTTTGAGAATTGGGGCGAAATTGCTTTTGCAAACAAACATGTCAATCGCTGATTTCTCGCGAATAAAAGAACAATCTCGTGAACAAACTGTACACAATGATAGAGGAACCATTCATCTACCAGTTTATAACTCCATGCTCTTCATGAATATAGGTGTGAACATGTCGTTGAAAATCAATTTTCTTCACTCACATTTGGATTTTTTCCCACCGATTCTTGATGACGAAAGTAAGTAAGTAAATAAGTAAGTAAGTAAGTAAATAAGTAAGTAAGTAAGTAAATAATTAAGTAAGTAAGTAAATAAGTAAGTAAGTAAGTAAATAAGTAAGTAAGTAAGCAAGTAAATTCAATTTTATTTAATTTTATGAAAAATATTTGAAATTTATAACAAAATCAACTTTTAGCTATATATTGAAAACTGTTCTACTTCTATTTTTTTTCTGACTGCATTTTTGGAATCAGCGTTAAATTTCACATTGGAATCAATAGTCGAAATCCTAAATGCAGGAGGTATGTTTTTTATTATTGATTGAAAAACCACAGAATTCCCCATTCTTCATTTCAGGAGCTGTTCTTTGGCAACATCTTTTATATAACCTTAGCTGTTTTTTTTGTTATTGAATGAAAAATCGCAAAATTCACCATTCTTTATTTCATGAGCTGTTCTTTAAGAAAAACCTTTTCTTCTTTGACAATTGCAATATGTGTGTAAGAATATATTACAACAAATGTATGTTTTTTTTTCTAGATGCGATTGATTTCAAGATATATTTCAAAACTATGCTGAGTTTTTATTGCCAGATTACTTAACCGCTATCGCTACTAATCTTGGATCTAAGTAAATATGTAGCTACGTCACTTATGATATGATCAATAATGGATTCCAAAATGTTTAATAAGCACATTTAAACTATGTTTGTATAATTTGTATCATCTTTTATTCAACGCTTAGTCTTATTTAAGCATTGTTTACCATGCTCAAAACAGGTTTATTATGCCTAACGTACATTATGCCTAATGACTTTATGCCTAACGCCCATTATGCTTAACGTCCGTATGCCTTACGTATTTATGCCAAATGGATGGATATCGCCCGTACGTGTTTAAACATTTTTGATAAACCTTACATCGCATACAAATGTGAACTACCGAATTTGGTAGTTCTGTTTGGCTTTGTCTGTTATCTTATTAAAGGGAAAACACCGTAATATCTAAATTCATGCGCTCGATAGAACAACCGGTCCGATACAAGTAATTTTCCGAACTCATCGCGTTGGGCAGCCCTGGGCTACATTCTACATAATGTCATACATTGGACATGCCCCTTTCCGGTTAATCATCAAGTTAATCATCCTAATCGGTAATGCATCCAAAAACGGCTTTCATTGGATATTAGAGCAACAGGACTAATTCAATCACATGTGTTTGTATTCATTCGTACAAAACAGCTGGGCATAGAAACTAATCTACAAATGTCGTTCCGCACAGACGTCTCGCATTTTGTTTGATCGTTATATTATAATCGAAGAAACATTTACTTAGGATAAGGAAATCGTTGACCTATGGTTCTAAAGCTTAGGCTCATCGATAAAAATCTCCAGTTCTTCCAGTTCTTAGTGCAATGCGTCATCTGGACATATGGATATTTCTGGTTGGCAGCAAAATATGGACGGAAAATGCTTTCGTTCAAAATTTGTGTATGGGCTCAATATTAGGGACACTTAGGTCGACTTTAGGGACATCGACGCTATATAACAACTGCCCATTTGTAAGCTTTTTTGTTGCCAGCCCAAGTGTAGGATATCTCATCCGGTCGGATGATGTTTGTATTTACGTGTCAATTGATTCGTTCTCAGCTAAATTGTGGGAAATTCCGAAATTGAAGTGAAATATTTGCCAAAGTGCTTTGATTGACGTGTTAATCTAATTTGGTGATCGTTATAATAGGTTTATTTTTTGGCACTTCAATGTATGGAGAAAATAATGCGACGCGATTTCAATTCAAGGCCTGGACTACTACAGCTATTCACATGACATAACAACAGGAAATCAACAAATCGTTACCGCAATTAGATACCAGGTGACCGCAGTGGAACGAGTGAAAAGGAAAATATTTTACAGAGTAAGACAATTCGGATTCAACTGTATAAAAATAAAGGTTTCATTAAAATAAAGGAACATTTCGTGTATTTCAACAATATGGATCAACTTACAAATCTAAAAACTAGCTTATCCTACCAATGTAACTGGTGATTCGTAGCGTTCTGTTTGCCATGCTTGTACAAATAATAACAACCGATTCAATTTTATCAGCAAATCATAAGAATTTTTCTTCTATAATCGTCGGGATTTAAGTACACCTTTACCGTCGCTTTCCAGTACGACCCAGCATATCAACAAATTAACGGGAACTACTACTACCTCCTAATATGTCCACGCTCTCCTTAAAATCTAGATCACTTCTCTTGTGGGAGACACAATTCGTTCGATTAAGTCATCGTTACTAACGAACTAAATATCAGTATCTAGGATTACAACTCTTTCCATTAGATAAGCGGTTTCAATGGTCCTGAGTTTCTGTCTTTTGCCGCTCTACAATTGATCTAATGCTCTCTAGCACGCTATGTGTTTGTTTTTCGTCCTAAGCCTGGAAACTCTTTCGCCGAATTTCCTGTATAGCCTTCTCCAGCTGTTCGATATTGTAGAAAACTCGATACTCAAGATCTGCTCCCTCGAAAACGTTGCACACGGACGGTTTCAGATTCAGGAAGAGTAGCATCTGATTTCGCAGTTTGAAATCTTTGATAAGTGTATCGATGACCTGAGCGGCGGTGAAGTCCGCTCCGTAGATGTGAGTGCAATCAATGACCACCGGAGTTTGGTTCTTGAGGCCGTGTTTGTTGATAAGGTTTCGTACAAAGTCAGATGATGGAAAGATGAGACTTCGATCCGGGGTGAGCATCAGGTACTTGATTCCACACGGTGTGATCAGTTGGTCCAGGTGGATCTTTGGCCGAGCCGCGTGGTACAAGATGAAGATGACGTTAAGGCCGATACCAACCAGAATGCCGTATTCGATCGGAAGAGCCAAGCAAGCAATGAAGGCAGCAATTCCGGGAATCAGATCAGATTTCTTACTCCTCCACATGGGCTTTACCACGCGAACCTCAACCATAAACACCACAGCGGCAATGATGATGGCGGCCAGTGCAGCTTTCGGAATGTAGAAGAAGTAGGGCGTGAAGAATAGGAGCGCTAGGATTACAATGATTCCCGTGTACAGACCACCGAACACAGTTCGAACTCCACTAGCATTGTTGACGGCACCTCGAGAAAGTGCTCCAGTTCCCGGGTAGCCTTGAACGAAGGAGTTTGCAATATTCGAAACACCAATAGCGATCAGCTCCTGAGTTGCATCGACAGGTTTTCCGTCAGCTGTGGAAATAGAAATGAATCGTATTACTCCAAAGAATCAAACACAAAGCTTGAAAACACTCACCAAAAGCCTTACAGATGGCAATGTCTTCCAGGAGGGCAATCAATGGAATTACAATCAGCATTGATCCGAAGCTACCGAGCATGTCTCCGAAGCTTTCATATTCTTGGACGACTGCTCCGGTTTCGTCTACAACCTCCGGGACGAAAAACGGTGGTAGTTGAATTGATGGGAGTCCACTCGGAACGTTGCCAATCATTTTGAACGGCATTTGCCCATTGCTGTAGAAGGCAGCTCCAATAGATCCGCACACTATCACAATGATGGCATTACGAGCTGTTCCAATCAGCCACAAAGACTTGTTCACGATCTTCTGAAATACAGACTGTTGTTCAACTTCCAGGGGTCCAATTTTGACGCGTGGCAAAAGTCTCATCAACAGCAAAACCACAATGCAAGTAAAACCCATCACAGCATCGCCCAATTGAGTATTGTGGATGTCATCCAATATCGACTGCCACTGCTCAATAAACGTATTACCCTTAGCAGCGATGCCGAGCAGATCCTTGATTTGCGAACTCAGAATGATCAACGCCACCGCGGAGGAAAATCCAGAACTGACTGGTCCAGATACGAAATCGATCAGAAAACCGAGAGCAAAAAGTCCCATCAACAGCTCAATCAGGCCTGTCAGGAAGGCAAGAAGTACCGCACGTTGCCAAATTCCGTGCGTCACTTGGAATGTCAGAAGAGACGCAATGGCTGTCGGTCCCATTGGAACGTCCTTGCAGGATCCCAGAAAGATGTACACGAAACAACCGAGGAAGGAACCGTAGAGACCATACTGTAGAATAAGAAAAAAAAACGGATGAGCTTTTTTTTGGAATGTTGGGTAATTGAGATGCTCGAAACTTACGGCAGCCGGTAGTCCCGCAATGCTACTGTATGCCAGCGCCTGTGGAATAACGGTAAGGCCGACGGTAAAGCCGGCCACTAGATCGCCGACAGCATCGTCCATGTTGTACTTGGGAAGCCAGTTGAACACCGGAACGCGCTTGTAGAGGATCTTCTTGCGGAAAATGCTGCGGTACTTTCGCCGGCACCAGGGGCCAACTTCACGCAGCTGATCCATGGTGGACTTTTTGTCGTCGGATACTGCAAAAGGGGGAAAGGACAATGGTTAGCGTTGTTTGGTTGGGTGTTTGAAGGTTCAACAATTTGCTTGTTGATTTAAGGAATTAATTTTCAGTTTAAGATTTTAAATTTCGAATTTTCAAATTCTTATTTATCAATTCAACTTTTAAATTTTACAACTTTGAATTTTCAATTTCATTTCCGACTTTTAAGTATTGAATTTCTAAAACAAATTTTTAATTCCAACATTGTCATCTACTAAAAATTTTTAAAGCCAATTCAGAACTACGAATTTGGAAAGTAAAATTTGAAATGTAGAATTTAAAGAGTCGAATTTGAAATGCAGAATTTGGAATGTGCAATTTGGAATGTGGTTTGAGGAATGTGGAATGTGGAATTTGTCTGAATTGTCTGATTTGTAATTTAAAATTTCTCAGACTTACAGTTTGCAATTGGTCGGATTATTATGTGTTTTTGAATTCAAAACATGTCCGATACAGAATTTGTCGGATTTGAAATTTATTTGATTTGGAATTTGGTATTTGTCTGTGTTGTGATTTGTAATTTTTAACCTGTAATTTGTCTGGTTTGAGATATTCAATATGTCTGATATAGAATTCTCTTGATTTGGAATATGAAACATGCAACATGTTTTATTTGGAATTTGGAACTTGTCTGATTTTAAATTTGCAATTTGTCTGATTTTTAATTTTTGATTTGTCTGCTTTGGAATTTGAAATTTGTTTGATTTTGAATTTTTAATTTGTCTGACTTGTAATCTGAAATTTTTCAAATGGGAAATTTGGAATTTGTCTGATTTGGAATTACGAATTTGCCTGATTTAGAATCCGGAACTTGGAAATTGTCCAATTCAGATAAAATTTGTCCAAATCAGACCAAATTTGTCTGTTTTTTTGATCTGTAGCTTCTTTCATTTAGAATTTTAAATTTTTCTGTTGTGCAACTTGGTCTGATTGGAAATCTAGAATTCGTCTGATATGGAATTTGACTGATTAGGAATTATGAATTTGGCTGATGTCAAATTTTATGATTTGTAATTTGGAATTTAAAATTTATCTGAATTGGGATTTTTTTTATTTGTCTTATATGGAATTTGTCTGATCTGTAATTTTTGATATGTCTGTATTTTAATTTAAAATTCTTCTGATATGGAATTTAAAATTTATCTGAATTGGTATTTGAAATTTGCAATTTGTCATATGTGAAATTTGGAATGTGTCTTATAAGATTTTTTCTGATATGTAATATGCATTTGTCTGTTACTAAATTTATCTGATTTGAAATTTATTTGATTTGGAATTTGATATTTATCTGATTTGTATTTGTTATTTGACTGATTTTGATTTTTATTTTAGTTAGTCTCTTTTGGAATTTAAAATTTGTTTTAATTAGTCTCATTTGGAATTTAAAATTTGTTTGAATTTGAAATCCGTCTGATTTGGGATTTGTCTGACTTATCTGTTTTTTTTTTTTTTTTTTTAATTTGGTTCATGGGATTTTTCTTTTTCGTTATTTGGAATGAGGATGTTTGGAATTTGGAATTGATTTGATTTGGAAAATGTTTCATTTTTAACCAGTACATTATTTGATTTTCAAAATGTCTATTTTGCAATTAGGAATTTGTCTGATTTTTAAACTGAATTTTTTTTTATTTGTAATTTGAAATTTGTCTGAATTGGGATAAGAAATTTGTCTGATTTGGAATTTGTCTGATCTGGAATTTGTAATTTGTCTAAACTGGAATTTGAAATAAATCCGATTTGGAAATTAAAATTCGTTTGAATTTGAAATCCATCTGATTTGCGACTTGTGTGACTTGTTTTCTGTTATTTTTTTTAATTTGAAATTTGGATTTTTCTAATTGGTTTTATGGAATTTAGAATTGGTTTGATTTGGAAAATGTTTGATTTTTAATCAGCACATTCTTGATTTGGAAAATGTCTATTTTGCAATTAGGAATTCGTCTGATTTTTATCTTGGAATTTGTCTGATTTAAAATTTGGAATTTGTTGGATTTGGAAGTATGAATTTGGCTGATGTGAAATGTGATATTTTTGTCTGATTTGAAACTTGAAATTTGTTTGATTTACGATTTAAAATTTGTCTGATTTGGAATTTGTCTAAGCTGGAATTTGAAATAAGTCCAATTTGGAAAACGAAATTTGCCTGATTAAATTTTATTGGAATTTGTCTGATTGGTCTGATTTGTAAATTGTGGGGTAAGAAATATATTTTATTTGGAATTCGTCTGATCTTAAATTTGTAATTTGTCTGAAATGGAATTTAGAATTATTCTTATTTGGAGTTTTAAATGTGTCTGATTTGGAAAATGAAATTAGAAATTTGTCTGATGTGGATTTCAAAATTTGTCTGATGTGGAATTTGACTTATTTATAATTTATCATTTGTCTGATCCGGGATTTGAAAATTTTCAGAAACGGATTTTGTCACATTTGAAATTTATTTGATTTGGAAATTGAATTTTTTCTGATTTGTAATCTGTGTTTTGTTTCATTTCGAAAAATTTCAATTTGTTTGATTTGTTATCTGGAATTTGTCTGATTTTGAATAACGATTTTTTTCTAATGTGGAAGTTTAGATTAGTTTGATTTGTAATTTAAGATTTTTTTGATTGGTAAATGGTCTGATTTATAATTTGAAATTTGTCTGAAATAGAATTAAAAATTAGTCTCAATGGAAATTTGTCATATCCAAAATTTATAATTTGTCTGAATTCAAATTTTAAATAAGTCTATTTGGAATTTGCCTGAAGTTGATTTTGCTGTCGGATTTAGAATTTGTTAATTTTGAATTTAACGTATATCTTATTTATATTTTTTTTCTCATTTGCAAGTTGGAAATTGTCTGATTTGGAATTTTAAATTTGTCTGATTTGTAATCTGTTAATTGTTTATATCGAATTCCAATTTTAACCAATTAGGATTTTTAAATATGTTTGTTTTGTTATTTGGAATTTGTCTGATTGGAAATCATGAGTTAATATGATGTGGAATTTTTAAATTTGCCTGATGTAGAATTTGTTTGATTTGTTATTTGTAATTAATCTGATTTTGTTGTTTAGAATCTTGCGGACTTATTGAAGTCTATTTGTCTCATTTGGAATTTGAAATTTTACTGAGTTGGAAGTTTAATTTCGTCTTATTTGCAGTTTAAAATATGTCTGATTCGGAATTGGAAGTTTTTAAATTTTCAGATTTGGAATTAAAAATTTGTTTAATGTGGATTTTCAAATAAGTCTGATTTGTAATTCTAAATTTGTCGGACTTGGAATTCGAAATTTGCTTCATTTGCCTGAATTCGAATTTGAAACTGGTCTAATTTGGAGTAAGGAATTTGTCTGAATTGGAATGTGAGATTAGTCTGAAAAAGAATTTGAAATTCCACTGATTTAAGATCTGAAATGTGTGTGATGAGAAATTTGTCTGATTTGTAATTCGTATTTTTTGTGAATTGAATTTGAATTTAAAATTATTTGAAATTTGTAATTTGTCTGAATTGGAGTTAGAAATTTGTCTCATTTAGAATTGGTCTAGATGTTAGTTTGTAATTTGTCTGATTTGATATTTACTATTTGTCTTTTTTGGAGTTTAAAATTTGTCTGCATGGAATTTGATTATAAATATGATATTTGTCGGATTTAAAAATTTTAAATTGTCTGATTTGAAATTTGTAATTTGTCTGAATTTGAATTTTGTTTGATTAGGAATGTTAATTACATCTGATTTGTTATACGGAATTTGTCGAACTGGGAATTCGAAGCTGGCCTCATTTGGAGTTTTTTGAATTGGAATTTGAAAGTTGTCTAATTTGGAATTTTTAATTTGTCTGAAATAATGTTTGTTATTGTAAAATTGACTGATTCGTAATTTTTTATTCGTCTGAAATGAAATTTTAAATTTGTCTGATTAGTAATTTTTAATTTGTATGATTTGGGATTTGACGTTTGATTGATTAGGACTTTGTCTGATCTGTTATTTGTTATTTGTCTAAATTGGATTTGGATTTATAATTTTAAATTTGTCTAATATGGAATCTTAAATTGGATTGACTTGAAATTTTTAATTTGTCTGATTTGGAATAAGGAATATGTCTGATGTGGAATTTAAAATTTGTTTGATTTTTAATTGAACATTTGTCATATTTGGAAGTTAAATGTGATCCGAATTTTGTATGATTTGGAATTAATCTGATGAGTTATTTGAAATTTCTCTGATTTGTTACCTGATTTAAAATTTATATCATTTGGAATTTGATGTTTGTCTAATTTGTATTTTTTAATTTGTCTGATAAGGAATTTTAAATTTGTCTGATATGGAACTTGTCTGATTTGAAATTCGTCTGATATGCAATTTTAAATTTGTCTGATTTGGAATTTAGTATTCGACTGACTTGGAATAAGCAATATGAAATTTGTTTGATTTGGAAGTTGTCTGATTTTTGTCTGATTTGTAATTTGAGATTTATCTGACATGTTACATGTAATTTTTCAAATTTTGAATTTCCAATACATCTGATTTGATATTTAGGATTGGTCTAATTTGGAATAAGTATCTTGGAATTTATCTGCTTAGAAATGTTTCTGTATTGTAATTTTATATTTGTCTGATTTTAAATTTGCCTGATTTTTATTTCCAATTTGTATGATTTGCAATTTGGAGTTGGTCTGATTTATAATCTGAAATTTTGTGTTTGAAATCTGTGTGCTTTGTTTTTTCGAATTTGTATGAAGTGCAATTTGAAATTTGTCTGATTTGGAATTTGAAATTTGTCGAAATTGGAATTTGAAATTTGTCTTATTTGGAATTTGTAATTTTGTGATTTGGAATTAGGAATTTGATGATGTAGAATTTAAAATTTGTTTGATTATAAATTAAATGTTTGTCTTATTTAACTTCAAAAATGTGGATTCGATTTTTGTTTTATTTGGAATTTGTCTTATTTGTAATTCGAAATTTTTCTGATTTGGGATTGAAAATTAGTACCTACGATGTGGAATTTTAAATTTGTTTGATTATCAAGTTTTCTGATTTTTTATTTATTATTTGTCTGATTTGAATTTTAAATTTGTCCGATACAGAATTTGGCAGATTTGAAATTTATTTGATTTTAAATGTGAGGTTTGTCTGATTTGTAATATCAATTTATCAATTTATTTCTGATATTGAATTTTTGTGATTTGGAGTTCGTCTGATTTGTAATTTGATTTTTTTTTTCTGATTTGTACTCTTTAACTTGATTGATTGAAAATGTGGAATTGGTCTGATGTGAAATTGGTTTCATCTGGAATTTAATATTTATCTGATTTGAAATTTATAATTTGTCCGATTAAGAATTTGAAATTTGTCCGATATGGAATATGTCTGATTTGGAATTTGTCACATATGCAATTTAAATTTGCCTGATTTGAAATTGGGGATTTGGCTGACTTGGAATAAGGAAAATGAAATTGGTTTGATGTGGAAGTTGTCTGATTTGTAATCTGTAGTTTCTATGATTCTGATTTGCTTTTTGAAATTGGTATGAATTTCTATGTGAAATTTGTCTGATTTGGAATTTAAAATTTGAAATCTGTCCGATTGTTAGTTTGATATTGGTCTGATTTGAGATATGTTATTCATCTTATTTGGAACTTGAATTTGGTCTGATATGGGATTTTCTAATTTTGAAATTGTCTGATTTTCAATTTGAAATTTGTCTGATTAGTAATTTGGGATTTGTCTGACTTGCAAATTGTAATTTTTCAAATTTTGAATTTTCAATATATCAGATTTGATGTTCGGAATCAGTCTGATTTGGAATTAGGATTTTGGAATTTGTCTGCTTTGAAATTTGTCTGATTTTTAATCTCTAATTTGTCTGATTCAGAATTTTGGATTATTCAGATTTGCTATTTGGAATTGGTATGATTTTTTATGTTGAATTTGTCTGATTTGGTATCTGCCTGATTTTAATTAGATATTGGTCTGATTTGTAACATGTTATTCAGCTAATTTGGAATTTGAAGTTGGTCTGATATGGGATTTTCTAATTTAAAATTTATCTAAATTTCAATTTGAAATTTACCTGATTTCTAAATTTTCTGACTTTTTGTTTGATTTGTAATTTGGGATTTGTCTAACTTGCAAACCGTAATTTTTCAAATTTTTAATTTCCAATATATCTAAATTGATGTATGAAATTTGTCTGATTTGCGATTGTTATGATTTGTTTTTTATTATTTGTCTGATTTGAATTTTAAATTTTTACGATACAGATGTTGTCGAGGTTGAAATTTATTTTGTTTTATTTGCTGTTTGTCTGATTTTAATTTTAATTCGTCTGATTTGGATTGCAAATATTTCTGATATGGAATTTTTGTGATTTGGAGTTCTTCTGATTAGCAGTTTGATTTTTTTTTTAATCTTTAATTTGACTGATTAAGAATATGGAATTTATATCAGTTGGAATTTGACGTTTGTCTGATTTGTAATTTGTAATTTGTTTGATTAGGAATTTTAAATTTGTCTGATATGGAACATGTCTAATATGGAATTTTTCCGATATGCAATTTTTTATTTGTCTGATTTGGACAAGGAATATGAAATATGTTTGATTTGGAAGTTGTCTGATTTGTAATCCGTAGTTTCTTTGATTCAGAATTTTGAATTTTTCTGGTTTGCTATTTGAATTTGTTATGATTTTTGTTGGTGAAGTTTGTCTAATTTGGAATTTATAATTTGGAATTTATAATTTGGAATTTTTAATTTGAAATTGGTCTGATATGGGATTTTTTAATTAGGAAATTGTCTGATTTTCAATTTGAAATTTGTTTGATTTATAAATTTTCTGATTTTTTGTCTGATTTGTAATTGAGATTTGTCTGACTTGCAGCCTGTATTTTTTCAAATTTTAAATTCCCAATATATCTTATTTGAAATTTGGAATTGGTCTGATTTATAATTTGAAATTTGGAATTTGGTGTTTGAAATCTGTGTGATTTGTTATTATGAATTTGAGTGATGTGCAATTTGAAATTTGACTGATTTGGAATTTGAAATTGCCTGATTTGGAATTAGGAATTTGTCTGATGTAGATTTTGAGATTTGTCTGATTTGTTAATTGTACTATTAATTTTTATGACTTGAATTTTGAAACTTGATTGATATGGAATATGTTGGATTTGAAATTTATTCGATTTGTAATTTGAACATGTCTGATTAGAAATTTAGAATATGTTAGATAGGAAATCTGAAATTTGACTGATTTTGAATTTGGAATTTCTTACATTTGGAATTTGAATCGGAAATTTGTCTTATCTGGAATTTGAAATTTGATATATGTTTGGTTTGGAATTTCTGATTTATAATTTTGAATTCTGAATTGGTCTGATTAGGAATTTATCTGATTAATCTTTGAGTTGAAATTGGAAATAAGACTTGATTTGATTTGTTACTTATGGTAACTTTTTTGATTTGGAACTATTCTGATTTATTATAAGTCTGTCTTGAAGTTCGTCTGATTTGTAATTTGTAATTTGTAATTTGTATGATTTGTTATTTGAGATTTGGAAATTTGTTTTTAATGTCTGTCCGATAGCAAGTTTAGGCCGAAAGGTCTAAGAATGTCATGAAATTTTACCCACGGTTAGATTTTCTAATTTTATAAACGAAAAAAAAAAAACTTAAAAATATGGAGTGGTTAATTTTTCTGGAAAATTGTAGTTGTAGTTTTCTGATTTTTCTGGACATCACTTACTTTGAAAATTCATAAGTCACGAACCAAGCATTTTAGTTAAATGGAAAGGACATTAAATCAGAATTCATAATAAAATATAATCTGAAAAATGTTTCCTACGAAAATGTACATCATGGAGCAAAATCGCAATATCATATTCCAATACCTTTCTCTTTCATGCAAATGTTTTATCTTTCACTGGTTAAAATTTCAGAGTGGTATCTCTCACCGTTTTGAATAATTACCAAAAAACTAATGGCCGATTACGTGCCATTCTAAAAGAATCATAAAACAAGCAAGAAAACGGTAATTTTCATGGCTTTCCTATGACCTATTTTGGTCATATCTCAAAAAACGGAGTCACTTTGAATTTTTCTTCAGTGAAATATAAGAGTTTTTCAAGAATTTCAATAATCATTAGGAAAAGTTGAATACCCTGACCATGGTTTTTCCTTATGTTTCTTGGAATTTTCCACCACCACAAAAAAAATTGCCCTAATAATTTTTCAGATTATTTGTTTTATGGACTTTTGAGATAATTTTCTTATCATTTCAGAATACAACGTTCATTCTAAGTAACACATTTTCAAAGTACTTGATGTCCGGGAAAATTCAAAAACATCAACTAAAATTTGCCGAGATAATTAAACACCCCGTATTTTTGATTTTTATTTTCCATTCATATAGCCACATACTCTACGTGTGCGCAAAATTTCATAAAACTCTGAGACCCTTCGGCTCATTTGTTACGTTATTGAAAAAAATCCCCAATTTGTCTGATTTGGAATTCGTCTGATCTGTAATTTGTAATATTATCTGATTGGGAATTTAAGATTTGGCTGTTTGGAATTAAGTATGATTTGGAATCTGTCAGATTTGGAATTTGAAATTAGTCTGATCTGGACCCTGAAATTTGTCTGATTTGAATTTGTAATGTTGAAAATTTGAAATTTGAAACTTAGAGTGTGGAATTTTGAATCTAAAAAATACTTACAAATGAACTCATTGCTTCCCCGATAGCCCGGAACATCCTTGTGGATGGGAGGAATGCTGAGTGATCCTTGTGATCCTGCTAAGCCATGGATGTTATAAACGGAGGCTCCTCTGATGCCTTGAACCTTGTCCAGTTGGGTATCACTAGATGATCGTCTGGAAGTAATGAGGAAAAATGCGATTTTAGTCAGATTTTGAAAAACATTTCGATCGTCGGTGCACACGCTTCCCAAATAGTGGGAAAATCTCTAAAGATCGCGAACAAAACTGGATTGATCCGCATCGGAAACGACCTCGTTTGACGTTGTTCGCCTCAAATGACGTAGTGCGACACGCAGTTTCTGAGTGATTTTCTTTTGTCCCGAATTTACTTCAAGGGTTGGCTATAGATGACGTCACTTTAAAACTTCTAATCACAGAATTGATTCAAATACATCAATTCTGAAATTTGTTGCATATGGAACTTATTTTCGGAAAAAACAACGCTGTGAAATCACTGTCGCGTAATCTATCGTCATTAGTAGGTAGCAACGAAGCACGCGATATTAAAATAGCACATTTTCGGTTCACAATTTTCTTGACTCTCGAGAATACATCTGTGAGAAAGCTTTGTCTCAAAAACCAAACGCCAGCTGATGTTACGGGGGAAGATCATGTGAGATTGAAATATCGGACTTCACTGCATCAGATATTGGCGAAGGTCTTGTATTCTAGAATGATATCACTTCCTTAATGCTAAGTTTATCTAAATTACCTGATCTGCATATTTGCAGCAAATGAAGAATTTTGAAACATTTCACACTGTATAAGCACTTTGGTATCGAATTCAGATCATAAAAATGTTCTCTGCATTAGTACGTTGACACTCCAGCGAAGCGAATCACTATAATAAACTGCAGTCCAACTACGCCCGAGTAAATATCGATTCGAGTACGTACCGGTAGGATGTGTGGATGAGTACCAAGTGATGGTCCTCTTTGCCTTACTGGGTCAATGATACTCGGTACTTATCTTGTTTTGACCGTCATTCATGGACGACGAAACCTATGTACCTCTAAATACAGCAGATATGCAAGATACCGGACCACTACAATCGATTTCAATTACTGACGTAGAACGGCATGAAACTCGTTCATCTTAATCGACTTGTTTCAATCAACTAAGTATCTACGAGTGTTCAAAAACATCCAATTCTTAGTCTGTCGTGTAACAGGCAATGAATGTGCTGATAAGTAGATTCAAATCCCATTCGAAGTGGAAACCTACGGTACTTCAAGGGCACCGATTCGGAAATGTGTTTTCTTCCTCTATTCATGAATCGACAGCCAGAATGGGGGGGAATTCGCAAATTGATTATGATTGATTATTTACTACACGCCACCCAGTTTTATGGCTTGTTATCTCTATTAACTGTATGGAGGGAAAATAACTGTGCTTTTCCTATCACCTCTATCCGCTGGGCTGAGGTTTAATTTCGTGTGTGATTGAAGGCAGAGATTGCCAGTTTCCCAGAGGATTGGTGGGTGGAAACTACACCTGGGAGTGGAATAATTTTCGTTTGATGGGTTTATTTTTACTTCACATGGTAGCAGCACCAGATTTGCAATGCAATGTTGAATTTTGGCTCTCTTTGAATGGTTTGGATTGGGATTCGGTGGTGGGACTATTTATTAGTGTATAGTTGACAGGATGAGTGCCTTCATGTTTTTTTACATCAATGAGACCTAATTATGTGATTCTCCTGAAATAGTGAATGCTCAATTATCCAACTTATATAAATGAGCTTGTAAGAATCCGGATTGTAACATGTGTTTCCGGTCCCAAAAAAAACTTGGCAGTATTGCAAGGTTTATTCATACTCATCAATCCAACGACAGTTTAGAGATAACTGCAAAATAAGCTACAAAATACTATGTTGAAATCGATGTATTCATGTAGGTCATATGACAAGTGCCGATGTCGTCAATTGGGTTCTTTAATGCATAATACGTTGATAATACAGCAATGTTCGAATTTCATTTTCAACTACCACTTAGAGATTTTTTGCACGGACATATTGAAGATATTTCATTCAAAGTGTGTTTTGTTACTTCATACGTGAAGTTTACGGATTTCAGAGTTGGGATGAAATGCTATACATATATCAACATGAAGCTTTAGTGCAATAATTTCTAGATTCTTCTTCTTCTTATTCGCATTTCAAGCTTATTGCTTAGTGCATATTAGCTTATTGCGTGCTCTCAATTTAGTGCACTTGCACTTCAACAGTTATTAATTGAGAGCTTTCGATGCCAATACCAATTGCATGAATTTGTATATTGTGTGGCAAGCACAATGATACTCTATGCCCAGGGAAGTCGAGAAAATTTCCAACCCGAAAGATTCCCTCGACCAGACCGGGAATCGAACCCGCCGCCTCCGGCTTGGTAATACCGTGCAAATAATTTCTAGATAGAGCTGGAATTAGGGCATAAAACAATTTTGTAAACAAGGACTTCTCTCCATAATGTCTTCGAATCCAAACCAACACGTCTACGCAAACCAACATAACCATCGGATAAGGGTAGATTTCCCCTAGCCGCAGGTGATGTTGATTTGCGTAGGGTAGTTTTGACTTTATAGAAATCATCTAGAGAAGTCATTGTTTATATAACCTGTTACGCCCTTATTCCAGCTCTACCTAGATGTATATGATAAATTGAGCGAAGGACCATTATTGCGACAGTACTAATCAAATGAACATTCCTTTACCAAGATCATACATTGGATGGATGAGGGGATTTGAGGTATTTCCTCAAATCCACAGGCAAAGGAGTGCGCGTTTGACTTGCAAGAAACTGTTGACAGCTTTTTGATCTGGAAGGATCATTTATTCAGTGGTGAAAATTTCATCAGGAGTCATGCACAAGTTTATAAATTATCGAAGACACGAAAATAAATCTGCACACTCACGCAAAACAGAACAAACGTACACCATGTCCAATATATTCTCATAAAAATTCGGATTTTATTGGCAATTATTTTTTATTGAAAGTCAATATTATACAGTTCAATTACAGCATATTTTTCGGAATAACACCACCTTTAATCTTGTTGACCAGCTTGAAACGTTTTTCAAATCCATCACAAGCGGCATACACGACTTCCATCGGCATATCGTCCCAAATTCGACGTATTATGGCTTTTAACTGAGCCAAAGTAGAAACCTTGTGCTCGTTTATTTTCGACAGCATGTATGACCACACAAAATAATCAAAGGGGGTTACATCTGCTGAACTGAGAGGCCATTCATCCTTGGCCAAAAAGTCGGTTAAATTTGCCCGACACCAGTTTTGGACCAAATTAGCTGTATGAGAAGGCGCTCATCATCATCCTTCCCGTACAATCTTTCTAAGATTGGCTTCACGACCACCGCTGTTAATTTTCATATCATTCGATTGAAGATGAACTAAATCAACCATTCAATCAATTCTGTGAAAACGAATTCTCACATGTCCATCATTTGAAGAGCCCCTTTCTCATTCGAACCTCATCATCACTGTCAATTGAGTCACTCACTATCATTTGATATACGACAGTGGAGTATGGAAGAAACCCAGCAAAATGGTCCCGAACAGACAAGTCGACCAGATGTCGGATCAATGTAAGACAAATTTAACGTTGATTTCGACTCAATGTCGAAATTTATAGTTTATTACAGGTCAACATCGGGTTGGGGTTTGGTAGAAGTCAGGTTGGTGTCGGATTGACTTAGCTTTTTCGCCGGAATGTTAACCAGAGCTCCGTTTATGTGTAGGTACCACTCAATTGAATGATATCAAGCGTTTCTCAAATGAGAATGATCCATGCCTTCGTCAAATGACTGAGCAACTAATAGCATCCATTCGAAGGAGGTCCCCTTTGATAGCGGATAGCTGCTTTTCTCATTTTCATCAAAAATGATCAATTGATTTCAATTGAAGTCTCGTCCAGCGTGCCGCAATAGAAGAAAAGTTGCTCTTTCAAGCCTTTTCTTCTTGGAAGATTCCGAAACTCCGTGAACTTAACGTTTCTTGAAAGCTTGGCGGTGGCTATCTACTTGACTAACCTATTGGTCCCAAGCAAATCGATTAATGTACCCCATTCTAGTCGAAATTCTAGTATTACACTATGTTTTGTTATGATTCGCTATGAAAATTTGTCAGATAAAATGAGGGGTCCGTGGATTTTCCAATGTTTCGAGGGGTGCATCGATTAGCTTGGGATCGAAGATAGTACCAGAGCTGAGCGTTTGTTGTTGAGAACGTTTCTTCGGGACCTTCTGGTCTTAGAGTTACCACTATGGTACTTTCCTCTTGGAGAAATGATCGATATTGTGTGACCAAATTCTAAATGCAGAGTCTGACCAAAATAGTTTTTTTTATATCCACAGGACTTCACTGCAACCTCTGGAGTTGAAGAGCTGGAGATCTTTTAAATACTTGAAGACTAATGAATCATTTAAAGAGAATACTTATGGGACGAGATTGGAGTTTTTGAACAGTTTAAGATACTCGCAAAAATACTTGATCAACTTAAAAAATATCCAGAGGATTTCATTAATAGCTGCCTTTCAAAGTGTTTTTATGTTACTTCATACGCAAAGTTAGCGATTTTCAGAGTTGGTTGGAAATGCTAACATGAAGATTTAGTGTGATAATTTATTAGCTAGAGCATGATCTTTAGAAGAGGATAGGTGGATAGTTCCGTTGTTCATGTCAGCATTTCCAAAAAGTTCCAAAATCTTTACTTCTTGAAAATTTTCCACAAAACTCCATGAACTTCTTCCAAGTCCCACATTTTTTTACAAGTTCTTTCAAATCAACTAAGATCTCAGAAAGTTCCTGATCTTCTACAAACTTCAGGAAAGACCCTGAACAATTTTTCAAAAAAATCTGAACGAAACAATTCCCAAGTAACAATTTATCAGCCTTTTGGCTTTCACTCTGATTTATTGGGGTTTTATAATGGCAATAAGCAATCTTTTGAGCTTAAATACAGCTTGATTAGTAGTTCAGCTGTATGCTGTAAACACCTTTTAAAGCCTGACGAGACAATCAGAAAGTATCAGGTTTTAAAAATGAATTTAATTCAGCACTCTATCCCTTTATAAAACTGTTCAGTAAATCAATCGGTAT